CTCCACTGGCACTGCTTATTCCCTCATTTGACATTCCCAGACCTGTTCTCGCATGTTCAGCTTGCTCAAATCAACAACCGGTGCTCCTCGCCCACGATCCAGTGATACTTCGCCCAGCCACCATGGACGCGCAGTGGCAGCAATACTACTGGAATCATTATTTGATGCAGCAACATCATCAGCAGCTTACCAACCCGGATACCACAACTTCTCCTCCCACCACCACACACCACGCCTACAGCCCCACAGGCACCTATGGCCCACTCACCCACGCACTTCGTACACACCACGTCCACCACTCCAACCCGTATGTGACTCCACCGTACACACCGCCATCGCAGCATACACCCCCACCACAGGCATCCACCTCACAGCCGGAGTTTCCACCTCCGCCACCGCCACCCCTGCCTACGGCCGAACCCGTCACTCCACCACCATCGACGTTCCAACACAGCCCACCGCCACCACCCACCGCACGTGGCAACACAGCGCCTGCCCCACCACCCCCACACATCCCATCCCCCACACCACCTGTTCCCGACTCTTGGAACCCAACCAAGCAACATTGGGACTCCAACACGCTGCACGGCCACCAACTACATCGTACAATCCAACCCACCCAGTGGTCTCGAAAAGCAGGCGTGGCAGGACTCCCCACCTTTGAAGTTTTCCCGTGGCAATTGGCTTACCACGGCACCTCCGAGTTCACCGCCCGTACACTGAGCAACGGCAAATACACAGGTTTTATTGCCACCAGAAGCATAGCGGAGTCGGTTTTCGTGACCCATTTTCTCCAACAACTCCGTGAGAAGCGCCTTGACCTTGACGGCATCGCGGAGGCCCTCCACACCCAACAGAGCACAGACATCCCCAACAAAACCACCCATGCCCGAGCGTTTCACGCTCCCCTCATCAAACTACTTATCGACCAACTGCAAACCCACTCTCCAGCACCTGCGGAAGGCACCGCTCTACGCGCCCTCAAAAACACCAACGACGAACTGGCTCGTGCACGTCAGAAACTCCAAGACCTGGGCAACCCACTCACACCAGTCAAGAGCACCAGCCGATCCTCCGCCTCCACCACCACCAAAACCACCAGCCCTCACCGACGTCTTGCAACCACCACACCCCACGCTGCAAGACGATATCCCCGAAGGCTGGAACCACCCAGAGATCCAACAATGGGTCACTACTTTCGACCCCACCATCCAAGAAGCTGCCAAGGACGTCGTCCGTCTGCTGCAAACAAGCAAAGTCACCACGCAGCAGCTAAAAGAAGCAGCCACAAAGTATGGCCTACCCCTCAACCGGGTCAACCGACTCCCCATTCGCAGCCTACAACAGCTGGTGGGTGTTGGAGCAGCCATCGGTTGCTGACTCGCCATCCTTGCCCAGCAGCAACCCAGCCACACCAACCTCACCCAACTCTTCCACTTGCACCGAGCACTCTCTATGCTCATTCACCGCACCCAATACATCGACCGTGCCGAGGCCATCTTTGCAACCGGCCTTATTCATATCACCCTCCTTTTCGCATACCCTTCCAACACCCGTCGCTCACAACAATGGCGCAACCGTCTCCGCCAGCTCCACATTTTGCCCCACACCTACCACTACCACAACTTCCTCTCCTCCAATTCAGTCTACATCAAGCTCCACTTCAATCCCGACCAGCCCCAACGCTGCTACCATCAGCATGGCCACTTCTATGTTGGCTCCACAGCTATTGGCATCCCCCACCGCGAGCACAATCGCCGCGCCAAACTCAAACAACTCCAAAACAACATTCCCATTTCTGCAGAACTCTCCTTACGTTATTGGCATTCACACAACAACATCCACCACTACACCACCATTCAACTTACCTCCCATGACACATATGACCAAGCCTGGATCCAAGAGCACCACTACATCGCAAACTGGATGCCTCCGCTCAACTGGCCTTTCATTTCCCACCACCTCAAGCTCAAAGCTCAGGGATGGCAGTTCACAAAACACAGAGCCCACTTCTACTCCAGATTAGCCACCCACAAACGACTTTTCAGACGCCTTCGGCAACGCCAGTACACCCTCAGGGAACCACACCTCTACACCTCCACCAAGCATCACGCCCTCCAACTTCTTCGCAACCTTACCAAACACACCGCAGCCTCCTTTGAAGCAGCCAAAGAGCTACGAAGCGGCCGCCACACGGACCTCGAAGTCTATGCAATCCGGCGCATGGCCGCAAACCTGGAAGAACCTGGCCGCAGCCGAGCCCTCCACATCCTCAACAAAGCCCTGATCTACCGCAACCTCACGCCGCCAAAACAAAACATCCCATTGACAGTGCCCTTCTTGGCCCATGACGACTTTACTAAGCACTGCCAGCAGTGGCTTCGTACTACCATCCAGCAGCACAAGCAGTTCACCATTCCCCTCCACCTCCCCTCCCACAGACTGAGAGAAGCCGCCCACAAAACCCTCCGCTCCCACCTGCATAACCACCGCACATGGGAGGACACCCTCCACTCCCCGCCAGATCCAGCAGACCTCCCCTGTGCATGCGATCACCTTCGCACCCCATTGCAGGATCCCGATACCCCCACCATCAACGGCCACTACATCCTTACACTGGACCAACTCCAACTCCCTACACACCTCGGCATTTTTCTCAACGCCAATATGAACAGCACCTATTACCCAAGCAAAGCTCGATACTTCCTCATATTCAAGACGGCCTACACAAAATGGCTCAAACTACAAGGGCTTCCACCATCCCTCGTTCAGCATTTACAACCATTCCTTGAGCACCAATGGCGCCTTCACAACACACACCTCAGGCAACAACCCCGCTTTACAGCTCGCCTGCTTCGCCAACTCCAAGAACATTTGGGCAAACACACATTGCTCCACCATGCCGATCATGAGCTCCAACAACTTCGGCTGTTTTGCCCTCGCCAATATTTCACTGGCGCCTTGAACACCTGGCAATCCCCCGAACTTTTCGAACCACTTCCCTACATCACTGCCGCCAACATCCACGACCACCTGGCCGCCACTGTCCCCCCCATCCTGCGCACTCGCTACAAGTGAGGCTTCCGAAAAGACTTCAACATTCCCTACGGTGTTGTCCACCTCAAGGAGAAGAAGCACTGGCAAAAAGGCCGTACAATCATTTCATACTTCCAATCACTTAGTGGCAACCTGCTACGCATCACCAGCCGTGCCCTTGACATCATCCTCCAACACCTCTACCCTCAACATCCAGGCCAAATGTCCATTCCCCAGCTGTGGCACCACTTTCACAGTTACCTCACCCAAACCCCACCTGACATCTCACTACACGCCACCAACGATGACCTGGTCGGCTTTTTCAACTCCGTTCCCCAGCACCGACTCATCGACGCAGTTCACTCCCTCGTCCACCACTGGCAACAACAGCAATCCACACACACCTTAACGGTGGATGTCCAGGCCACCGGCAATCCTTTCCACCACTCACACATTGGCAGACACCATCAGAAACACCCCACCCAACGCACCATCCAGACTTCCGACATCACCACCATCGTGGCTTTTGCCCTCAACACATGCATTTTCCGGGCTTGCAACAATACTACAAACAAATCCAAGGGGCCGGGATTGGATCCCAGCTCTCTCCAGCCCTATGCAACGTTGCCATCACCCCTATTGAGCATTCCTGGCATCAGATCCACAACAACCTCCTTCAACACACAGACCTCCACTTTACTTACTATCGCTATGTCGACAACCGCTTCATTGTCCACAACGAACATTTCCTTCAACACCCGGCTATCCAAACCCTCATCCACCACAATTTCTTTGGCGACCCTGTGGAACTAGAACCAGTGGAGGATTTTCATCTCCTCGGTTTCAACATCGACCTCCCACAACGCACCATCACCTACATGCAACCTTCTCAACCCTGGAAAATCCGGGATTCCACCACTGCCGGGAGCCAGCGCTTGGCTCTATCAGGCCTCCAATCACGACTTCACACCATTCGCAAATACACATTTCCACCCTCCAGCGCTGACGCTGCTGCGGCCGAACTCGTGAATCTATATGTCCAAAAAGGGGCATAACTATCACGCCTGCCACCGGTTTTTGAAAAAAGCGCCGAACGCGGCGACCTGTGTGTGTCCACCCCTGGACAAAGGGTCTTCCACCACCACTCTTTCCATGCTTTTCAACTACCTTGGGCAGGGGGCGACAGAGTCGCTGCATGGCTGTCGCCAACGAAGCTCCATGCAGTTGACTAGATATCACGGCTGATCACCGTGACGTACCTGCCACAGCAACCTTTGACCACGCTGTCTAATCTGCCTGGTTTGTTTCCATGGTTCTTCATGATACCTTCCCCCCTAAACCACTTCCTCCCCAGCAGCGCTGCAGCTTGAGCCGCTTCGTCACCGCAGTCAAGGGAAACAACCTTTGTTCAAACACCTACAATTTTCTCGGACCTTTCGCCATGCTGTTCCACCACCTTCCTTCCCAGCGGAGAGATTGAGCTCTAACGGAAAACCAATGTCGAAGTGTGTGTGTTTGTAAAGTTTCTGCAGCGGAAAGGATACTAACCCCTGATGTTGAAGATCTCAAGATGCATCATGGATGTCAAAACATGAGAGAGAGAGAGAGAGCGAGAGAGACAGAGAGAGGGAAGAAGCGAAAAGGACTGACCATAACCATCAAGGTTTGGTGTCCAAGTGTCCCTATGTCATCTTTCAACCTGCTGAGATTGGGGAAGTGTCTTGCTTCTCAGCCCTCTGCAAAACCTTGAGACCCTCTCCTCAGCGCGCCTGCCAATCGGACAATGACAATCTTGCTACTCTCAACCAACTTGAGTCGGTAAAGGCTCGCTGGACATATTCGCTATCAAGAATTACAAATACCTATGACGAGGTCGGTTGCGAGACTCAGGGTCTTCCCCAAGATGTGCACAGAGATGTTAACAACCTCAGACAACTTAGCACCTGTGCTGGTTTCTCTGGCACCTTGGCGTTACAGCCGCTTGAATGCGTGATCGGTTCAGCCGCCAACTTCGCTTGCACCCCCAGTGGGATCAAAGCACAGTCCTCGGGAGCCCTGGTTGGGTCCCACAAATCGACGAAAGCAATCTTCTTTACGTTCGGAGGTGCCTGAGAAAAGACCAGATATCAAGGTACCAAATTTGAAAATCCTATTGGAGGTATTGGTCTTCCATCGCTATTGGAAACAATAAAACAAGACAAGGAAGCAAGGGAACCCAAAAAGCCCTCCCATCAGCTGGGCCCACCCAAGAGATACCTCGCACCGCACCGCCGAAGCTGAGGGCCTGAGGGCACACCTCCTTGGAAGAGGGGATTCCCCAAATCTTTGCCACATAATGTCCATGGAGTAACAAGAAACTCCATGGAGTTCGATCGGCCAAAAATGTCAGGAGATGAACCCCCCCCAGACACTTGCGAATTTAGAAGATGACAACATTCCTTTGGGTGATGCTCCGGGCTCCGACTATTTTTGATGCGTCCATCTTCCACGTTCCGTTCGGTTGTTTGATGTTCTTGGCGGGGTGGTGTTGGCAGCAACAAAATGCAGAGTCCACTTCTGCTTAGCAACCCCTTAAATGGAGGCGATCTGGCTGGTTTCTCGAGGAATTTGTCCAAGAAACCAAAAGAATATATGGGCAACCAAGGCCGCATGCATGAGGGATCATAAAGATACTGACAAATTTGGGCCCGTGATAACAACACAAACATTGCGCTGGTTCAGAAACCTCACAGCACAAGTGTAATATATACTTGCAACATGCACAGCTTTCAACCCCCAAAATAAAACTTTGAAAACCATGCTATTAGTACTGGCATGCCAATAACATGTCAGAATATATAGCTGAACACTTAGCTAAGCAACAAAAGCTAGCTACTGTAAATAGTTTGTAAACCACTTAACTTAGGTAAGTAGTTTAGTAAGTGGGTTACAACTTTTGTAGGTATGCTAGGTATACCTGTCTCTTCCACTAGGGTCATAATTTTTGCTTCGATGAGAAGAATATGGTTTTCATGGTGTTCGTCAATTCTTGCATTTCATGCTTCTTGTTTGCTCCCGCAGCATTTTCTTCATTTTGATGACGGGTGCTCTGCGCTGGAGCCCCGATCAACACCAAGAAGTGCGCTTGGCCAACCACTTTTTTCCTGTCTCTTCGCCGAGCCTTTTGATCCCTTCCCTTTCGCAATAGATTGCATGGGTCCAGATTTCACTGAACACTGAACATGCCTCTTCTGTTTGACTGGCTGTGGCAGCCCCTTGCTCAAGCGGCCCTCTCACTTCCACGCCTTGGTCAAAGGATGGCGGAACTTCATAGGATGTGGGAGCGTGAAGACTTGGTCCGGGAGAGGGCCAGAGCCGAGCACCGGATCCTGGTCTGGCTGGAGCCTCACTTGGTTGGAGCACCATCCCTACGTGCTTTCAGTAAGTATGAACCGGGTAATCATCGAATTGACTGCGCAGTGGTGGGCTCCACAGTGCGATCAGCCGGAGTCGCTCCAGATTGCAACCATCAGGGAGGAGGCATCGCTGGTTTTTCAAAAGGAAACATGTGTGGTCCAAGCGCTTCATCGTACCTGCTTTCAAGTTGCTTTAGTCCACAACAAAGGCACAAAACTAAGACGTACTTGTTCATGACTAAGACGTACTTGTCAATAGATCGTTGACCCATCGGTTTGGCCAACATTTGAGGTGAAGAGATTCCGGACTCTACTTCATCTAGATCCCACGGATGTTGCCAGTGGAGCATAGACTCCTGGGGAGTGAAGAAACTGTTCTCTTACAGTTTGCGGAGGTGGCTTGCAAACTCTCTGAACCCACGGGCTTTTTGACATCATAAAGTTTTTGGTTTTATTTGTCTAATCCTTCCCTGACAAAATCAAAAACATCCCGGCATCAGTTCATGACTCATCCCACAAGGATGATTGCTTGCTGGACATCTATGACACCTTTTCCACTCACTGGGAAGTCCTGAGCCTGAGCCGCCTGCACCACCCCAGATCTTGGCAATTGAAGATGGTGTGATTGAAGTCGACCCAGATGAACACCCTCAAGCACTCAGCCCCGGTGGTGCAGCTAGCCCTGAACCATCAAAGATGGTTGATGATGGGTATCCCTGCAACCTTTGCAGATCTTGCCGTGCCACCGAACTCCGGACGACCAACACTGACGCCCAGATCTGAGCCCCTGACATCGCCATCGCCAGTGACACGAACATCGCCGTCGCCAGAACTTGATCGAGAAGCCCTCCTGGCTTGGAGAGAAGCCCTCAGGCCAGCCCGTTGTATCAGTATGACTCCAGTATGATGCTTTGCAAGGGTATTGCCCCTGCATTTTCTGCAAATCCGCTAGCCATGCCAGCCCGACACCACAGCTAGTAAACATGGTTGTTAATAAACATGGTTGTTACATGTTGTTACCCCGTTATTTGCTTGATCTGGTAGGTGTGAGCTTGCCCGCAAACAAGCAGAACGATCTGCAGCTGCAGCTGCTGCCCTTCTCGCTCACGATGGAGGACTTTACGGGACAATCAATCTGGAACTCGTTTGCTTTGTTTGTGTTTTTTGAGGCGGTTGACAGGCAAAGTTGTGGTCAGTATGAAAACATCAAAGAACAATGGAGGACCTGCCTCTGCTAGTGGGAGTTATGTGGATCAATTGGTGACTCTGCCAATGGAAATTGATTCCAGGGATCCTGTGACTCAAGAGACAGTGGACCCCGATTCAAAGACTTTGGAGCTTGCTGCCGTGGTTGCCGGAGAGATTCCTACACAAGCTAGTGGCTTGGAATCGCCGGCGCTGAAGACACCAGAGGCTTTGCCGCCAGTGTCTCATGGGAAGGAGGCAGAACCCATCAATGCCGCACCTTCTCAGAAGCCGGAACTTGACGCGGAAGCTGCCATCCAGCCACCTCCTGCAAAGGCTGCCAAGCTGAGCGCCAATGGTGGTGAATCTTCAAAGCCGGATGAACCCAAGGAACCGGATTTGTTGCACATGAAGGCTTGGTGGGACACCTTCAAGTAAAAAAGGTACCCTGCCTGTTCAAAATATACTTCATACCAATGAAGCCCACTCACTTTTCCCATTCATGTACCTGGGAGGCTCCGCTAGTGAGGCGCTCTGACCAACTCGGGAAGGTGGTGGACGTGACCGGCAATGACGGCGATGACCATTCTCGTGAAGACCAGGCAAAAGTTGAAGCTGAGGAAGCAAAAAGTGAAGCTGAGGAACCAACTCCTGACCAACCTTCTGCTAGTTCTGGGGGTCGAGGTGGCAAGGGAAGGGGAAGAGGCAAAGGGAAGAGCAAGGCGCAGACCACAAATGCACCAGAAGTTGTTGATGTAGACAAAGCTGACGCATCAGCAAAGGCTACAAGGAAGCGTGGAAAGGGCAAAGCTGAGAAAGATGAGAATGCAAGCAAAGTGCAGAAGACTGAGAAAGGCAAGAGCAGTGATGCTGCGCAAGGTGGTGAAGCTGTGGACGGGCAGGGCAAGCGAGAAGGGGAGAAAGCTCCCAAGACCACGCGCGGCAGAGCCAAACAAGCAGAGAAGAAGGATTCACCAGAGCAGAAGGATTCAGCCACTGGTGGAAGTGAGCAGCCCAAAGAGGTCAGGCCGCTACTGCCCGCAATCAGAGCTTGGTGCTGCGAAGTGGCAAGCCATCCGAGAAGTCTTCAACACCAAGATCAAGCCGCGCATCAAGTCTCACTCGAAGATTCAGGCTAGGGGTGACATGGGGTGACAAAGCCTAACCTCTCCCCATCACCAGTGCCAAGTCATACCAAAACAGGTTGAGAGGACACAGAGTAAATAGTGCCAACTATGATCTAGTTGGCCCTATTTTTTTGGAAGTCTCTTAGCCATCGGAAACATAGCACGATCGACTTACAACTCGTAACCCAACCGTTTCTTTTTTGGAACGTGACAACCCTTCCAGGTTAAGTTCTGGAACCATTGCATGGCGGATGAGGGCATCAAAGCGGGGAATTCACTCAAAAATTGTGAGCCTGCGTGCAGTCAATGTCAAAAGGGCACCCTACGACACTTGTGGAAAAATGTTCGACCTTCGCACTAGATTTGATTCTTCATTTGAAACTCTGCTTCTTAGTAGATTCAGTAGTTGGTACAAACACAGAACTGCCTGTACAGGCCGTCATCCAAACAGTCAAACTAGAAGTTGTTTCATGAATCTATATCGAATCTTTCCAACTTGACCCTCCTGCTCCGAGCCTGCTCACCACCACAACGGACCCCATTCGCCTTCCGTGAAGAGCACCGTGAGCGACGGCTCGGCGGAGCTTTGCGCCAGGACCTCGCGTCGCGTTTTCGGCTCAGCACCCGGCGTGCCCATGCGGGGGCCGTTGTGTGCCCGCCTGCATCTCGGTCTCCCCAAGCTTCACCATGAGACCGGTGAAGATCTGAAAGTGGCCTCAAAGACGCATCAAGCTCGGTCATGTCACCTCATATCATATCCCATTCTATAGTTCAATCTCGGGCTCCATCTGCGCCTGAATCAGCTTCCTCCACCCTGGCAGCCAAGGCCGACAAAGGGAGACCCCAGGGCCTCCTGCGGTTAGTCCCTAACTGCCTCTTGAAAAATGTGTCGCATAGCCTGGCCATTTGTTGATTGTCAAGACAAAATCCTCTTTGGAACTGGTGAACTGCACATCCCCCAGAGTTTCCCCTTTTGGATTTCCGACCAAAGAAAACAACAGAGCAACTGGTCCGATTTCTTCATCGACGGGAATTTCGATCGGTTTATCGAAGATCGAAATTGGAAGGCCCTGGTTAAACACTTCCACCCGCCCACTGGTCCACTCACTTCAGGCACCTCAAACTCGTCTCAACCTGAAACACTTCAGCCGAGACGATGGTGGGGGAGGTGGGACAGGGCCCGACAGGGCCTCCCGGCAGGTTTAATCTCAACATTGAACAATTTATCCACTTTTTGCAACAAAACGGTCCACTGGCGGATTTTGGGCTGTTTTGCTGACTCATCCATCCCAAGATGTGTTTTGGTGGACACTACTGAGCACAAGTGGCAAGCATGCCCCTTGGCAAACAGCTAGGTTGAGCACAAAGCCCAAAAATAGTCTGTTTCGTTCAGAGAACTTCACCTGAGATCGTGTCCCAAACGCCCCGGGGACCTCCCAAAAGAGCCACCGTCCGGTGTTCTCCGAGTTCAGCACCTACCCTGCAGGCTCGGCAGACTGGACAAAGAGCCTGGTCCCGAGGTCGAGGGTTTACCCGCTTGAGTCGCTTGAAGCCAGGCGAGTGCACAATCCTTCCAAGGAGATCCTGTCGGATGATCAGCTCTCGGTCCATCGGCGAAGTGTCGCTAAGAGCTACGTGCTTGAAGCTTCTAGGGAATCAGACGCCGAGACAATCGCCGCGAAAACCCGGGAATCGCCTGCTGCCGCTCGCAGGAGCATCCTGAAGGAGTCCAGCGGGAGTGTCTCCCAGTCCGCAAAAACCATGCCAGAGACCTTCCCCTGAACCCACTGCACTTCCTGGCCTTTGAAACGGCCCAGAAATGAATGGGCTCGTTCTTGCCCAACTCCAGCCCCCCACCTTACCCAAAGTTTCTCACAAAACCTACCGCCAACCAGTCTAGTCTGCGCCCAATCCCGCCCAATCCCACATTCTTACTATGCCCGGCATGCCCGACGCACCAAGCCTCTGGGATGAGGCTGAGGAATGGGAAGCACTCACCGCCCGACGGCGGCTCTCTTGCCGCAGCGTCACCGGCGCACCACCGAAGAGGAAGGCGTAGCCTCGGGTTTTCAGCGGAATAGGTCCAATTCTGGTGAACCAACGAAGCCTCGAGGAACATCCACAAGGTGACAAGGTGAGACAACCCATCCATACCCATCCCAACCTCTGCGCGGAAATTGGTTCTTTAGTCTTTAGTGTAGAACACGCCTGCCACTCAATCTCGCAACATACTTGGAAGCTGCGCTGCGGAAGCTCTTTGGGGCAAAGACTTGTACCATCCAACCGCCCCCAAACCACCGCACGGATCGCCCGGGATTTGGCCCGACCAAATCGCAAGTTAGAGAGATGGGACGGAGGGATGGGACGTCCCAAAAAAACCTACAGTTGAGCTTGCACAATCAACCTCCACCAGTTGAACTTGAATCATCCTTTCCATGTGTGCCACGTGTGCCCCCCAATGGACGGAAACAGTGCACAAGACATGGGATCAATGGCGATTCAATCTGAGGGTCACGAAGAAAAGATCGTAGCGTCACCCTAACTGCGTTTCGGGCCGTCCAACACCGACCGCTGCTCCCGGGCGTGCTCTGACTCAGGTCGCTGCTCCGGGAAATCTCCTCGGTGGCGCTCGGTGATTTGAGGTCACCTGGTTCACCTGCGTAACGGAGTGGGGAACCCCACAAAACCTAGAGCACCACAGGACACGTGAACCTTCTTAGAATCATCGAGGCATCTGGTGAAACAAGGAATCCACCCCACAGCCAAGAGAGACTCATGGTCCGATACGCAGCCAGGGACTACTACTACTACTACTACTACTACTACTACTACTACTACTACT